TCTGTTTTAATTTATTCACACTACTCCTTGGCTTCATCAACATGGATGATCGGGAGTTACCAGACCTAAAATTTATTATGTATGGAATGAGAGCTATTACCTGGACTTGAAAAACACTTTAAGTCCTTGGACTCTGGTATGAGATTTTAGACCTGAGTAAAGAATGTGAGTTTCAGGTTGTCCTGAGGATGTCTGCCATGATATCCTGATCACAATAAATTTGATTTGCTGAAGCAAATCTCTTAATTGCTTCTGGAGCCCATGTCTGAAATCCAAATTGGTAGCTTGGCTTCGATAACAAAGAGTATATATACTTCTGGATTGCCACCGCTGATTTTCTTCCCCTCATTTGAAATGGCCTCTTTAAAGTCTTGACAGTAATTTCCCACCAACCTTGGCCCCATGGGGCTGATGTAGTAAAAGTCCAACTTTTAGTCAGCAAATGAAATAAACTGTTTTCAAGACACATATGGAGTAAATATGGACGGTAAGGAGGTGCTATTTTTACAGTCACTTTTCTGAACATCCGTCTCACAAAGGAATTACTTACAGGTCTCTGGGAACCTGGCTTCTCTTTTCCTCAGCTGGCAGAGCTGCGGATGGGCTCGGCCACCAGCCCTCCTGCGCGCTCTCATGTGACTCATTACCACAAATGAAGGTGTTGGCCCCAAACGCTCTGAAGCAGCTGAAAACTATCCTAATATATAGCACCCAGTCAAGCCCCTCCCCGCCTTGACTAGACTCTCCGCACATGGAAGTGTTTTGAGATCTGGTTCTGTGGGCGTCGAGAAACTATTCCGGGACTCCCGCGCCAACGACAGGCCTCACTTTGATGTCAGCGATAAAATGGTTGTTCCAGGGAAGTGTGCTGTCTAATCCCACCACCCTCCTTCCCCTCATCACCGTGAACCAGGGCAGCTTTCACAAACAGCTTTGGTAGAACCCTCCAGTCTCTGCCCTTGGCCCTGGTTCCCATACTCTTTCTTCCAAAGGAAACCAGGGGCTTACTTTTCCTGACCCTTTCCTGATGAGGCCCGTCCTGGCGGCGGTGTAAGTGAGGAGCCTGAACTCCGTCACTGAAAACAGTAACAAGTGCTTGTGAACACTCATCACGCCAGGCGCCGCGCTGAGTCATTGAGACATATTACCTCATTTAACCTTTAAAACTGGCCCTGAGTGTCAGTTTTGTTACTTTTTCCCATTTTGAAAATGGATAAACTCAAGCAAAGATAACACATGACAGTTGGGGCAACAAAGCCATTAGATGAAGAGAATGAACCACAGGTTTAGAATCTGTGTTCTTTTTAAAAACTTAGCTGGTTGAAGTACAATGTATATTTGGAAAAGTGAAAAATCCTGTGTATGTGGCTCAGTATATTTTCATAAACACCCATATAACCAACTTGGGTAAAAAAAAAAAAATACAGCCAGCACCTTAGAAGCCCCTTCTTGTACTACATGGTCACCAGCCATCCACTCTACGCGGGAACTGTTATCAATATTTCTTAGATCATAGATTAGTTTTGCTTATTTCTGAATTTAAATGGAATCAATATAGTGTGTATTCTTTTGTATTTAGCTTTTTTTTTTTAACCCACTATTACGGTTGTGAGATTATCTGCGATCTGTGTGAGGCTTTTCATCACTATATAGTGTTCCACTTGCAAACATCCTATAACAGATCTATTTCATCATTAATAGTAGTAGTAGTTGTTGCTCAGTCATGTCTGACTCTTTGTGACCCCATGGGCTGCAGCCCGCCAGGCTCCTCTGTCCATGGGATTTCCCAGGGCAAGTATACTGGAGTGGGCTGCCATTTCCTTCTATACCACATTGTTACTAGGCAGGCATTATTTATAAGTTGGAGCTATTACAACAGTGCTATTAGAAACATTTCTGCTCCTGCCTACTGATAAGACACACACACACATTTCTGCTGGGCACACACGCAGGAACGGGACTGCTGAGCACTTTCGGCTTTAAAAGATACCGCGAGCAGGCCAGCCAGTGCTGCTATGAGCTGGCAAATGCCTTGACGGGTACGATGGACTGAACTGTGCCTCTCCAAAATTCCTGTGTTGAAGCCCCAACTCCCAATGTGGCTTTATTTGCAGACAGGGCCTTTAAGGAAGTAATTAACGTTAAATGACGTCACAGGTGTTCTTTGAAATAGAGGAGGAGACCCAGAGCTCACTCACTCTCCTCACACACACAGAAGAAAGGCCATGTGAGGACACAGTGAGAGGTGGCTGTCTGCAGTCAGGAAGAAACAAGAGTCCACACCAGAGACCAAACCTGTCAGCACCTTGATCCTGGACTCTGAATCTCCAGAACTGTGAGAAAATAAATGTCTATTGTGTAACCGCCCAGTCTGTGGCATTCAGTTGTGGCATCCAGAGCAGACTACTACGAGGGGAAAAGTGGTGGAGAAGCTGGGTTCGCCTCAGGCAGCTTGCTCTCTATTTGGGATCTTGGCCTTTCTAGGCCTGTCTTCTCGGCCACACCGAGCCCACAGTTTTGTCTCCCCAGCCCTTGGACTCACCAGAGCTCGGGAAAGGGGTGCAGTCTTGCAGTGGCTTTGGCCTGGCGTTTTAGCCTTTCATCCTTGAGCCAATTCTAGCCTGGCAAAGCCCGGAGGGAAAAAGGCACTTCGAGGGTGGCCTGCAAAAGGTTATTCTATCATTCCTGGAAATGGAAATCTAACTGGTCATTTTTTAAAATAAGGAACTTACAAATAAAGCTGTAGTGGAGCTAATATCAATTCTGAGTTCTTTTCATCAAACTATTATTCGGTCAACTAGTTATTCAAATAGAAGGAGTATCTGCTGGTTTTTGAAATTACCAATCTGACACAATCTTTTGCTCTAAGGAGGTCTCAGTTTGGAACCCACACTTTCTAGAACTTTGTTAACTTGGAGAACTGGGAACTTCCTAGCTTATTCCCTTCAGGACTGAATTGTTTTTGAAAAAAGAAGTTTAAGCTTTCAAATACTCAGTGGCACCTGAATTAAAAAAAAAAAAGACTGCCACATTTAGTGGCTGAAAAATAGAATCCTGTGGATGATGATCAGAGTTGCACAATGTGAATGTACTGAGTGCCCCGGAACTTACAGTTATTGGTTAAAATAGCACGTTTTATGTGAATTTCACCACAATTAAAAAGAAAACAAAAAGAATCACGGATGACACTCAAAGAGAGCCCTCCAAATCAGGAACCCTGGTCTCCAGGCCCCTACTGTTCCCCATCAGTTGGGGTGGGGGGCACTGGGTGAGCCAGCCACTTGGAGCTTCAGCTTCTTGGACTGTTTCGGAAACTTCAGAGCACAGCTAGCCCTCAGCACTGCCGGGTTAAGCCTCAGCACTGGGTGATGGGCAGTGTCCCATGACTAGTAGCGTCTGGTCTCCCTACTGGGGTCTGAGCCCCTTGGGGCAGCAGTCATGTCCTGCCCCTTCTATCCTCAGGACAGGGTCTCACACTGGGGATGTGATGAAGCCCCCAGGCCAGCAGCTGCTCCCAGGGGTTACTGTCATGGTGAGCCTCACAGGGCAGGGCTACAGCATCTTTAGCAGAGTTGATAGTGGAGCTGTCATGTATGTAACAGGAAATAGTCAAAGTTACCGTACAAAGCTCCTTAAGTGGCCCACGAACTGCAGGACATACACATTCAATCTAGTAGAGTCATCTTCAGGCACCAACACTCTTGAGGACAACAAAGCCAGATGCAAAGAAGGAACCACCAGCTGAAGCGAGAGATCTGGGCATTCAAACCCCTCTGCCTTTGTAATCCTATCCAGTCCCTGAAGGGAACAGAGACACGTGGAGATGGCTGGAGAAGGTCTGCTCCCCTGCAGTCCATCCTGAGAAACCTGCAGGACCTGAGTGAGACTGTCGAGCTTGGCTTCCCGTGTCAGTGACTAGCCTGGCTCCCTCTTTCAGAGAGTCCCAGCACACAGTAGCTCGGTAAAGCCTCTGAACAAGTCCGTGGCAGTTTAATGTGGATACACCCTGTTTCTCAACCTTATCTGACTCTGGACCTTGATTTTAGAACCCTACTAATATTCTGTGGCACAAATTGAATGTGACATGCTGGGGACCCGGCCTTAGGTCATTAATCAAAGCTTTTCTGACTTATAAACAACCCTAACACAAGTACTTATCTGGCTTTGGGGCAGAGCAATTAAGAACAATCCATTATAGAATCAGATGAAGGGTGCTGTCTGATTAAAAACCAGATGAACAGCTAAACATCCTGGCAGGAATGGAAAGGATGGAAAACTTAACAAAGCATTCATGGAATTATTTTCAGATACTCAACAAATGTTATTGCATATGATCATGGGGGTTTAGAAGAGTAGCAGTTAGTCCTTAAGAAAAAGTGACATCCTTGGTAAACTTAAGAGGGTAGGAAGACATTTATTAACAGAATTAAAAAGTTGGGTGTATAAGGACAAGATTCAATTGTTGGGAAAATTTATCCCCCTACTGCACCAGACAAGAAAGACCCTGCTTATCCTCTCAGCTTCCTGCTGTTGTCTTTCCTACAGACACAGCTCAGAACAGCCTCCGGGACAAAGAAGTCAAGCAACTCAAACAGATTCTTCCTGTTTCCTAAGAATCGTGAGTTTTCTTTGACCCTAGACATTATTTTCTTAAGGAGGAAGGTCTCTCTAATGAGTAGATTTCAAGATACCAGGACATAAATAAGTTTATCTTTTAGTTCATATCCACCTGTGAATCACATGTGGTGGGACAAGAGACTTCACTAGAGTCCGTATCGTTGGCACCTCTCCCGTGGCATGAGGCTCGTTGATTCCTTGATGGAGGTTGTTCAGCCAAGTCTCCCAGTGTATAAAAAACCCTCTCCATCAATTATGTGGTTAGTGTTTTTTGAGAGAGAGAACAATTCAAAGGATGTTTGAAGAGGTGGTCCTCATCTCTTCTGCTTTCCACTGCCTTGGACGTATCGACTGTTCTCTTTACATAACCATCTGGTCCCTCCTTACTCGTTGTATTTGGACAGTTTCAGCCTGGGGATGATGTTCATGGACTGCAGCTCCTGGAAGAGCAGCTTGCAGGCGTACGGGATGCGCAGTGAGGACACGTGGCAGGACGACTTGCAGAAGTGGCACCTGAAACCCAAGGCAGCTGCGTTAGAGGACAGCAACCCAGGGGCAGAGGCAGCGCGGAGGAGGGGAAGACGCTCTCTGCACCACCCCACGGCCATCGACTGAGTGCGCGCGTTTCCCAGTCCTCAGCGTTCACTCACACTGTCAAACCTGAATGTATGAGCGTCAAAGTGTGAGTCACTCAGTGGTGTCCGACTCTCTGCAACCCCATGGACTGTGGCCCGCCAGGCTCCTCTATCCATGAAATTCTCTGGGCAAGAATACTGGAGTGGGTTGCCATCTCCTTCTCCAAATATGTATGTATATACCCCCGGAATAAAAAGAAGCATCCAAGGCAGGAAAAGAAAAAAAACAAACCAAGTACCACTCCCCCAGTTTTAAAAGCACATACTTTTAATCAGTTGCATCCACACTTCTAGACCTTTCTCTTTAAAATGCAAAATATCTGCCTATAAACTTGTTTTGAACGAGGCCCAGAAATCTGAACCATCTGAAAGTTACTCAGATTTAGTCTTTGTTGTTGAAAGAATTTCAAAACAATTTAATCCCTATTCCTGCAGTTGAAAAGCTACTACTGCTCTATACAATTCTAGACAAGATGCTCAATTTGCTTTCTGTCACTGAAATGCTTGAAGTGTGATGGGCAAGAGAAGACTTTCATACAGGAAGGTGGTGTCCAGTCAAATGCTACTTATTTTTCCAGGGCTCTTCAAGCACAGATATTTCCCTTAGTCCTGGAGGCCACTGCACTCACAATGCACTGATTCCTGTGTGTGTTCATGTATTCCCACTTTATCTTCACAACAGCACCCGCTCTGAGGCAACACGTCTGCTCTTTCAATTAGTTTTCTTTTCTCTTCCTTCAGGAAAAGGCAGTGAACTGAACCTAGATCTTAATCAATGGCTACAACGGAAGAAGGGTCCCAGGGGAGAAACTGAATTATTCTCTTAGGTTTCAGACCAAAATAGGACCTCACCCTATACCTCAAGGGTCTGGGGTACCTGGGACAATAGATTTCCAGTACATATCCTGAAACTTAACAGGTAGAAAACTGGATCCTCCCAGGTGGCAGGGTGCAAAATGAATGTAGGAGAGACAGCAACCATGGCTTAGAAGTCAGTGCTGATGGGGGGCTGGAGGGAGATTCCTTAGTGATCGGCAGACCAGAGCAATAAGACAACGTGAGTTAAACATGAAGAGGGTGCATGTCATTTCACTGAGTAACCACAAAAGTGGCACAAGAACGTTCATGGTCAAACTGGTTATAACAGCATAAAGCTAGAACTCACATGTCCAATAAGTTATTTACAGGACATTTATGCAGAAGAACCCTGTGCAGCCAGACCCAGACTAATGAAATGTAAAGGTGTCCAGGACATAGTGTGGAGTGAAAAAGCAGTCTACTCAACAGCATGATTACATGGGGGGTTCTCAGACGGGTTTCAGTAAATGTATGAAACTTCCAAAATCATCTGTAACCAGATTTTCTGGTGTATATAATTTTATTTTTATGCTACTATCAGAATCTCAAAGGGGTTCATGATTTAAAATAAAAAAGGGTACAGAACTATTTGGAGAAGGAAATGGCAACCCACTCCAGCATTCTTGCCTAGAGAATCCCATGGACAGAGGAGCCTGGTGGGCTAGAGTCCATGAGTCAGACACGACTTAGCAACTAAACCACAGAACTATTGGCAAACAGAAATGTCCCCAAAGGGTCACTAAAAAGTTGACAGTGGTCATCTGTGGGTGGCAGGAACTTGTATTGTCACAAACATAACAATTTGTTTTTCTATATATACATATTTTAAAAAACTGAATATTATAAAAATATTCAGGGATCATTTTTGCCATCAGTAAAATAAAGCTTTATTAATTTTAGAAAAGCACAGCATTAAGGTTGAGAATTTGAACGAGATGGTGGGTGACTATGCAGATATGAACTTTCCAAGGAGAGGTGGAGGGAAAAATGACAAGTCACGATGGACCCATGCCTGGGTCCCCACCAGAGGACCTGCAGAGACCTTAACAAGCACTGTGGAGATCTGATTCCATCAACACTAATAATAGAACATTATGGGTGACTTTTTCCTAAAAGATTACCTGAAGACCTCATTAATGCATTACATTTTATGAATTATGTTTTTAAATGTGCCTGGGTTGATCTAATTTATTCAGAAATCATGTTCACGCTTTAATTAAACTGGAGAAATGGATTTAACTGGGGGAATGTCTTGCTGATTCTCCTGACCAGTACATTACCTGTACAATACATTACCCTGTGACTTCAAGCTCATCTGTTTAAAGTTTCCATATGTGCTGATTCATAATCCAAAAACTCCACTAATCTTCTCTATTATTAAATATTTCTCATCATTTAAAATGTTCCACTGCACATATATACATGCATAAATATATACAGATAAAACATGCACATATATAGATAAAATACACATAAATAAAAATATACAATGTTTTACCCTATTTCTGAAAGAGTTCCAAAGGAAGAGACTTGACCCAAACAACAAGAAAAGAAACTGATTTTTTAAGGTGAAGGCAGCGGAAGGAGGCTGTGGCTTCACATGAGGAACGACTGTCCAGTAGAATATCCTCTACGAGCTAATTATCTGAATAGGGATTTTCTTTTCTCGGCAGTTTTCCTCTCTTTTGTGACTTACGCCCTCCGTGTCTTCTGCAGAACAACAGTCTTGCTGTAAACATCCCCATAGCAATGCCTTACTAATGTGCAAATCACTGACAAAAGGCCAGTTTCAAGGTTCTGAACCGCTCTAATTACTCAGCCTCCATTGTGCTGTTCATTAAAGAGCGACTTCCTCCAACAAATGCCCCCGTGCTTCCCTCCCACACAGCCCAGCGCGCCTCATCAGGTAAGGACGGGAAAATGACAGCATCGTCAGGCCCCTCTGCTGGGCAGCACCGGGAAGAGGGTGCCAGACTCCCAGAGTGGGTGACGATTTTATTTTTTTTCTGTTGGGAACAAGGGTATAAGCAGGCCACTCAAAATCAGACCTACGGCATATCCAGGTCTGTTTAATTACAGTAAAGACCCTTAAACTGTATAACCTGAGTTAGTCCTCTTTCAAGGGATTTCAAACACAATACACATTGAACATATGAGCTTCAAAATCAGGAACTGCCATCAAACGGTCTCTAAATGAGACCTAATCGAAGCACCAGAGATGAGAATTTAACAGAAGAACCAGGAGATCAACTACGGCTTACGTGAGTTTCCCCGAGTATTTAGCGGAAGACAGGGGAAGGTTTTCAAAGGGTGTGAATGAAGCTCATCTACTGTTTCCGTTCTTCTTTGCTCTCTCTCTTCCCTGTCACACACACTCTCTCTTTCTTCTTTGAGTGGGAGGCGCAGGAGGGAATGTGGGGAGAATGGAGAAGAAAAGGAAACTCTCTGAAGTCTCAAGATCCCTGTTCTTAATAAAATGATTCCCCTGCACCATCTTTTCAAAATAAAGTACTTTGAGATCCTTGTGCCAGAGGATGGCTGTCTACGAACCAGGAAGTAGGCCTTCTCCAGACAGCACATCTGCTGATACCTTGATCTTGAACTTCCCTGTCTCCATATATATGAGAAATACGTGTTTGTAGGTTAAGCTTAAAAAAAAAGAAAATCCTTGCACCAAATTAGAAGACTTAAGCATAGTGAAACTAGTTCCAGGAGTCTCGCTATTACACATTTGTTGGTGTGTTACACAGCCAGAACAATAAAAAGCAAACTCAATATGCATTTCAAAAGACAGACAGACATCTCAGAATTGAAACACCCCCTCCCATGTCACTGATAAAAGCAACACCCAGGCTCATGCTTAGAATACTGTCACCTCCTCTCTGCCATCGTAGGAAAGGAACAAAGTGCAAAGAGCCACCTCTTGTGTTGGTTTTTTAATATGAAACGATTTTTTTCACAGACAAGAAGAAACAGACGACTCCTTCTCAAATATTTTACACCAAAAAAAAAAATCATAAAATAATTGGGTAAAGGGTTTTGTCGTGTAACTAGCAAGGTATATACACTGTGTTCAAAGAAGTTCACTCATTCCAACTCTTGATTTGCTTTCATTCACCAAGAAACTGGCAGCGACAGATGGCAAAAAGTTGGGGCTCTCTCTGGAAGGAGGCTCTGAAGGGGGACTCAGTGGGGAAAGGGGCTCTGGGCGGGTGGGTGAGGGAGTTGAGGCTATTTCCTGTCCCACAGCATCGGCCTTATACCTTGCTAGACCTCATCTCTGGTAGAAGAGTGAGTCAACACCAGGGAACTGCTGGCCCTCCTGCCTGCAGGGGTGTTTCAGGGCTCTGGATCACGACTAACCCAAGGAGAGCAGCTGCTCCGCAGTGGTAGGGTAGAACCAGTACAAGCAGGAAAATGAGCACAGACCAAAACTACGGAGTATCACCTTTTACCTGGCCTGTGTCCTGGACTCGACACAGAAATCACAAATTTTATGAATTACGCAATTTACCTATGGATAACCGTAAGCAATTATGTTTTATTTAGCATCAAAAAGGTCCCAGAGGAGAAGCAGAGGAAAAGAAGACAAAGGGGAGTTAGAATGAGCCAGAAGACAAGCTCCCGGGGCGCAGCCATTCATCTGTCTTACTCACCACTGTAACTCTGGGGCCTAGAACAGTGCCTGGCATGTGGCTGATTCTTACTCAATGTTTGTTGACTGAAAAACTGAGACAGACGTGGTCTCTGACTTCAGGGAATTCACAGGCCAAGTGTAAAGCAGAGAGGGTACAGACAAGGTCCCGGGTCTGTCACCGATTTGCTCTAAGAGCTGGGGCAGCATACCTGGTTCTTTGGGTTTGAGGTTAAACAAGGGTATTTGACACGGTCTTCTATTGAAGGATACTAGTTAAAATATGCTATAATTCTGAATCTGCTAGTATTTACAGGTGAATAGTGTTATAAAAGGTACTTGAGATAACACTAAAAAGAAGACAAAGTCATCTTGGAAGTTTAAACTCTAGTGGTCGTAGAGAGCAGAACATTAGGCAGACAAACTGAGCACGTACATACAGAATCCTGAATTCCGGAATGCCTGGATGGGGAAGGCTGGAGAATATGTGGGAAAGAGGCAGGGTGAAACACTAGCTGTGATTTAAGAGGCAAGGGATGTGGTATGAGAGACATGGGCATCCACTTACCAGCCGGAGTACCCCAGAAGTCCGCACTGCCCACAGACATCAACCTCAAAGGCGTCACTTGAAATCATTAGTCTCTCTAGTAAAAGCATACTGGCTCCATAACCGATTAAACAGTCACGTTCCATTTCTCCAAGACGCAAACCACCATCGCGAGACCGACCTTCAGTGGGCTGCCTTTGGAAGAGGTCAGACGAAAGTGTTTGTATTAAACAAACAGAGGCAGCATCACACGCTGGCTGAGAGTACAAGGCTTCAGAGCAGGGCTCACCTGGATTCAAACTGCTTCTATTTTTTAAAATTAATTTCCTATTGGTGTATAGTTGCTTGACAATATTGTTAGTTTCTGCCGTACAGCAAAGTGAATCAGCTATATATATACATATATCCACTCTTTTTCGGATTTCCTTCCCAGTTAGGTCACCACAGATCACTGAATAGAGATCCTTGTGTGATACAGTAGGTTCTCAAATGAGCCCATCTGTACCATTTTCCTAGATTCCACATGTAAGTGATATTGTATGATATTTGTCAAACTGCTTGTAGACAGTGACCAAAAGCATGCTGCTCAGCCTCAGTCTCATTTGTAAAAACACATGTAAGACAATCTATCCCAAAGAGACTTCAGTGAGAAGAGACGTAAACCAAGTGGCTGCTAATATTATTATTAGATGGAAACAATAATTACACAATCTTCTGTGATATAACAATAAGTTAACATATAATCACATAAAACAGCAGTGCTAGCATTACCATCACCATCACTATCATCATTATCAGCACAGTATAGTTCTCAAATCAGGGGAGAAAGTCTTTTGAGTATTTTCAAAGATGTCTCAGTTCTCTGTTATTTAAAAATAGAAAAACTAAGCAGAACACGCTATGGAAGAAACCTGGGCCCCCAGTAGTCACTGCCAGGGCTCCAGAGAGGAGCTTTACTGTTAACATATAAATTAAACATGGAAAGAAGCAGACAGAGTTTTCTATAAAATTTGGAATAGATCAGGAATCCCCTGGAAGGATGGAGCTCCTGAGCCAGATGGGAGGTTCCCCAGAGACCGGGAAGGTTCTGTGTGTCCCACTCAGGCCGTTCCTTCTTGTATAAGAACTGGCCCCCTACTGACCCCCAAATGGACTCCCTGTGGTTTACGTATCTGCTGGGCTTGAGAATACTTTAAAAGGTTAGGGACCCAAGCCCCAACTGGTGCAGGATAAATGACTTTGTTAGGAGACTACTGGCAAGACCTTCCATGGGTTTGCTTACCTATGAACTGATTTTCAATTGGTGGCTATTTTCTCACGTTAATCAGGCCTGTGATTTTTGTTGATGCCTAACACCCTAAACTTTGACATCTGCCTACTGCTACATCTGAGAAATGCAATGTAGACTTGACTACATTATAAATGCTTTTCTCTTACCTGGTAAGGACAGCTCTTGGTCCCCGGGCCCGGGCATGCATCTTATCAAGCACCATGTGTTTCAGTTTCTGATAGTACACAGGGCCAAAATAGATGTATGCTTCCAAGGGCTCACTGTAAGAAAGGTCAGAGTTTTAGGTTAAGGAACTAAGTTTGGGCTAACAAGAGACAGCCTTTTTTAGGACTCATCACTGGCAGGTCCTAGTCTGTTTTTGAATGAGTTTATGACTGAATGGGCAAGAGAGTGTCTTTCAGACTGCAGTGAACAAAATGCTAGAACTGAAAATATAAAAGTACCACAGATGCAATAAAAGATATACTGTTCAATTAAGAAATAAAAATTTATGAACACTGTGTACATGTATCTTTTCAAATTAGTGGTTTTGTTTTTTTTGGATATACAACCAGGAATGGAATTCCTGAGTCATATGGTAGTTTTTATTTTTTGCTTTTTCAGAAATCTCCATACAGTTTGTACAGTGGCTTCACCAATTTACATCCCCACCAACAGTGTACAAGGGCTCCCTTTTCTCCACATCCTCACCAACATTTATTATTTTTGTTCTTTTTGATGACAGCCATTCTGACAGGTGTGAGGTGGCATCTCATTATGGTTTTGATCTGCATTTCCCTGATAACTAGCAATGCTGAATATCTTTTCATGTGCCTGTTGGCCATCTGCATGTCCTCTTTGGGGAAAGTCTACTCAGTTCTTCTATCCAGTTTTTAATCAGGTTTTTGTTTTTTTAATGTTGAACCATATGAGCTATTTTTATATATTGGATATTAACCCTGTCCACTTATCAGTCTTATCATTTGCAAATATCTTCTCCCATTCATTAGATTATCTTTTTGTTTTATTGATGTTTCTTTTGCTGTGCAAAAACTTTTCAGTTTAATTAGGTCCCATTTGCTTATTTTTGCTTTTGTATCCTTTGCTTTAGGAGATGGATTTAAAAAAAACATTGCTGCAACTTATGTCAAAGAGTATTCTGCCTATGTTTTTCTCTTGAAGTTTTATAGTATCTGGTCCTGCATTTAAGTCTTTCATCCATTTTAAGTTTGTTTTGTGTATGGTGTTAGAGTTTGTTCTAATTTCATTCTTTTACATGTAGCTGTCCAGTTTTCCCAGCACCACTTATTGAAAAGACTGTGTTTTCTCCACCGTATATTCTTGCCTCCTTTGTCACAGATTAATTAACCATAGTGTGTGGGCTTAATTCTGGGATTTCCATCTTGTTCCACTGATCTGTTTGTTTTTATGCCAGTACCATACTGTTTTGATTACTATAGCTTTGTAGTACAGTCTGAAGTTAGGGAGAGTGATTCCTCCAGGTCTACTCTTCTTTCTCAAGATTGTTTTGGCTCTTTGGGGTCTTTGGTGTTTCCAAACAAAACTTTTAAATTATTTACAATCACCAAGGTATGGAAGCAATCTGAGTGTCCATCAACAGATGAGTGGATAAAGAAGATGTGGTATATCTATACGATGGAACGCTACTCAGGCATAAAGAAGAATGACATTTTGCCATCTGCAGCAACACAGGTGAACTTGCAGGGCCTGATGCTAAGTGAAAAAGCCGAGAAAGTCTAATACCATATGATATCACTTATATGTAGAAATCTAAAAATTGTAGCAAATTAGTAAATAAAACAAAAAAGAACCAGACTCATAGATATAAAGAACAAACTACTGGTTACCAGTGGGGAGAGGGGAGAGAGAGGGGCAATATAGGGGTAGGAGAAAAAGGGTTATTATGGGATTATATGAAACCATGTGTGAAACTTTTGAAAATCATAAAGCACTGTAAAATTAAGAGTCCTTCAATTAAAAAGAATGGTGAAAAAAATGTAAACAGGTTGTGAAAGAGTGTGTACAGGACAGCCCTTCTTTCACGGCTGCCCCCTTTGTCAAGTCACCCTCCTTTCTTGCCTGGACCACTGCAGACAATCCTCTGATCTGTCTCTCTGCTTCTGCAACAGATTCTACTACAATCTCTCAACAGTCTATTCTTTACACAGTAAGCCAGAGCGATTTCTTCTAAAACAGAGCTCACAGCAGGTCATTCTTCTGCTCTTGATTCCCAGTGGTTCCCCATTACATTCAGAATCTGTATCACCCAAACTGTGTATCATAGCCACAAGGGCTAACACAAGCTGCTTCCTGTCCACGTGACTCATTTGCTATTCCCTCTCCCCACCAGGCAACTCTACTTCAGCAACACTGGGCCTTTGCACTCACTGTCCCCTCTGCCTGAAACCCTCTTTCACCAGGTATTCATGTGGCTCTGTCAAATACGCCACCTCTTCAGAGAGATACACCCTGATGGGGTCCTCCTCGCACCCCAGCATCACAGTGCCAGCCCACTGTCTCAGCTCTCACCTAGGTAATATTTTCTTCAGAGTATCTGTCACTGTTTGGTATTAAAATATACATTTGTTATTTCTCTGATTACCACCTCTTTTCCCCAGGAGAAGTAAACTCTGCAGGATAAGCACGTCATCTCCTTGCCACTGCGGTCCCTGCACGGACTGCCTGGCACACAGCTGGTACTTGGCCAACATCTGCCACAGAGCTGACTCATGGGCCTTTAGAAAAGGTGGGCTAAAAGTTTCAAAAGAGAGTGAATATTTAAGTGCTTTGACAGTAGAAAGCTTTTTTCTTCAGTTTGGAGCAAGAGCAGCCAGAATGATGCCTTTAAAAACATTTTCAACTGCCCCAGAACTTCTTCCTCAAAAGAAAGGAAGCATCTAGTATGTGCCATGTAACTCATGACTTAATCCATAACACAGTCCAGGGAGGGAGAGACTGTCTTCCCTATGTTTAAGATGAAGAAACAGGCACAGAGGGCTAAATAAGAGCTGGTGAGTGGTACAGTGATTCAAATCCAGGGCTTTCCCTACTAAGTAACTTTTGGGCCACAGCCTGATGGAAGAGTGGAAAGAGCAAAGAAAGCGACAGACATGGCAGACAGGACACAAAAGCACCTGCCCTTGCTTGCACGGTACACATCTTACAATGCTTTCAGCATCACCAGCAAAGACGTTTGCATCTATCAAGCCATTCTGCTGGCTTAAGTACAGTCAGATTCTTGGAAGACACAGTACAGGGTGTCAGGAGACACTATTCTCATCCTCGGCCTGTCACAAAGTAACTGCATGACCTCTCTATCTCAGTTTTCTTAGTTGTACGAGGGGGTCAGACTGACCCCCTTTCTTTCCAGCTTTTTATAATAAATGATTCTATTTCTCCATTGTATGGCTCTTCATGGTAGAATTTCTAGAATTCTGTCACCTAATGCCATTCTATCATTAACTGAATAAATCCATATGCAATTTTCCCGCTTAACTATGCTCAGAAATGTGACAAGAGATGAAAGCTGGTGGGTGAATATGTTTGTAAGTCCTGTATGGAGCTTTCAACTAACAAGCTAAAACAGTGTTTCTCAAACTTTGCCACTGAGATGAATGGCCTGGCTGGGGGCACTGGAGAAGGTGGTGTAGAAAGAGTCTACAGTTTTGTTCACAGGAAGTGGAGCACAGCCCATTCAAATCTTCCAGTAAAATTATGTTCAGAAGGTCTGCCAAATTGAGTCACCAGTTCTACACACCTTCTCGTCAACTACTGCATTATTTCTGAACGAGGAGCAAAGAGTAAAACGATCAGTTGAGCAATGACAACTTTTCTTTTGAAATGGACCTTAGCTATTTCACTGAATCATTTTTTAAATGAACCATCACTTTTCCTGTCTATAATATCTCAACCATGATACACCTAAAGAAATTTACATTATTACACTCTGGGTAGATCATTTGAGAAAGTAATCTATATCTTTTAATGTCTAGTAACAAATTTCAATGGTCAGACGCAGAAGTCAGGGACCATGTCTTTTCTGTTCAGTTATACACTTAGGTGTTTAACACGCTGTTGGTGAATGAATGTGCAAACGTTAGGCCTCAGGCTATCTGTCAGAGCACAAAATACCTGAAATTCATCACAGAAGTATAGAGAAAGGTCAACAGTTAAGAGACTTTGTTATTATACACAATTGATGTGTTCTTTAAAAAAGTTGTGTAGTAATCCTACTTCAGTAAATAAGATCTTTTCTACTTTTTAAATGAAAACCTCCTCAGCAAAACAGCATTCCTGAATTTATCAGTCTTCTAATTTAAAAAAGTTTTTTTATTTATTTGTTTATATTTTTGGCTGTGCTGGACCCGTGCTGCTCTGCAGGCTTTCCTCGCGCTGCAGCAAGCAGGTGGGGGCTGCTCTCCCCTGCAGCGGGGAGGCTTCTCTTGTTGCAGAGCACGGGCTCGAGGTGCGCGGGCTTCAGCAATTGGGGCGCGCGGGCTCAGCGGCTGCCGCTCCCAGGACCCAGAGCACAGGCTCAACAGTTGCGGCATGTGGGATCTTCCCTGATCAGGGATCAAATCTGTGTCTCTTGCATTGGCAGGTGAATTCTTTACCACTGAGCCACCCGGGAAGCCCTAGTTCTCTAAATTCGGACTTTTCTTCTCTCCCCTTCCCCAGTTTAACTGAGACATAATTCACATAGAACATCAGGAACAGTATGCTGAGTGCTGATGTGAGACACACATGTTGCAAAGTCATGACCACCAGGAGCTTAGCTGCCACATCCACCACCAACCTGGATTTTCTTGTTTCAGATTTCTTAAAAAAGTCCAGCTGTATATTTTAAGGACTTTTATGTCTTATCACACTTTTACTTTAATAAAATCATACTTTTCCTTTAAGATGTCTAAACACACACTCACCCTGTGATGCCAGATGTAACGTAGTCTTTCCCTAAGTAGTTATAACCGTGGCGGACGAGGTCCTCACACACATCCTTCACTTTACTGCCTCCAAATGCGGTGCCGTAGTGGAATCTGCCATCTAACACACCGGCCTTGCCTGCCAACAGCTCGATTAGCTTTCCCACCTGCGTGATGTGAACAGATTTAAGTGAGCAGCTTCCTGTGGTGCAAGAATTCTGTTGGTTTATTTAGCTCTGGCCTTACTTCCCCCAAAGATTATGAGACTATTACTCTTAATAAGAGTGACAAATTAAGAGCAGCAAATATTTACCCTCTCTTACTGTGACCTCAGTTTATGCCTCCAAAACCCCAATGGGATAGATACTATTATCTCCGTTTATACACGAGGAAACTGAAGAACAAGGGGTTAAGCCACTTTGAAGTCCCAAAGCTGGTCAGTAGTGGAGCCAGGCTGACGAATGACAACCACAGAGAGGGAGATGCATTAGGTTTGATGTGACGGAGTCTTTTGCTGGGGGGTAACTTCATCACTCAGAAGACTGCCATTGAAGAATAGCCCAGACCTCTCTGCCTCCCCTTGGTAGATCAGCCCACCTGGTCAGAAACCTATTTTTGCTCAAAGGGCCCTTTCTGAAAATCAGTTTTGGGGTCCCGTCTCCTCCAACTGCCTTGCCCGCTTCCCTAAAAGCAGCGCCTCTGAAAAGGAGACTGACCGTCATTCGAGATGGGAAGCCATGGGGGTTCATGATGATGTCCGGACAGATGCCAGAGTCACAGAAGGGCATGTCTTCCTGAGGGACGATCAAGCCGCAGACACCTGGGGGAGAGATTTCAGGCTTCGTACAGCCAGTCGGCAGGAAGGAAGAGCACAGAACTGAACCGGGATCTCCTCACTGCCATCTCTTTCTCTGCTGCTCTCAAACCTTCTCCGTGGTCTCTATCAGGAGTTAACAAAAGCAATTTCCAACCGCCCCGCTAGACAAACGGTTCGAAACGACTGTCCTGGCGGGAAGGCCCCGCAGCCTGCGGGCTGGCCTGCTGGCCCAGCACACAGTGAACCAGCGGCTACCGGCCCAGCCTCTCCAGCCGCGGAGAGCGGCCAGCAGTCCTGGCCCGTCAGGAGCCCCGAAGCTGCGGGTCAGCAGCGGCCTCGCCCTGCGTCACCCAGCTCGTGAGTGCTATCCGCCGTACCCAGGTCCCAGGAATGCGAGTTCTCTGACCGCCAGACACAGAGGGCTGACTGGGCGAGGGGTGTGTTTAAACTGTGGCTTTAAAACCTGGGACAAGGAGTACTTGTGCGTGGCCGATGTGCTGACACGTCTACCCACTGGCTGCTGAGCCTCCAGCTTGCCCCGGCTCCCCTGGCTTCCCCTAAGCTGCCCTAAGGAACTGTAATTCCTATAGTTGACAGCCCATCAGAAAAGGGACCTCAGATTGAAGTCCTGAGGTTGAACAAGAAAATTAAATGCCAAATTATTCTTGGAAGAAAAAGCTAGAGTTAGACGTGAAATTCTAAGCATGAAAACAAAACAAAACCCCACCAACTCTCTGCACTCTACTGATAGTTTCTTAAATTGGTTGTACTTTATTACTCTCTAAATATTACTCTAACCTGTAGAGTTAAAAATCTAACCTATAAAATCTTACCAGTTTTACCAATCTTACCAATTTTTAATTCCTCTGACTTCTTTGTTGATAGGAGGAATACAAGAATACAATTTAGATTGCTAACCACAATCTACAGATTCAGAATTAGAGAACTAGTGTACAATGGCACTGGAGCAAGAAAAAATGCTTTAGTATTTCAAAACATGAAATTTATTTTCCTTTGTATATGAAGCTATCAACCATCTGCGTCTATTAAAAAGAAACTGTCCTCAAAGAAACATTTCTTTCCTCACTTTGGTTTCTACATAGTTACTCAAACTATTTCAAAAGAGATTTTTTTTGTGTGATTATAAACACCAAGACCTGAAGTCTAAAGAAAAAGAGCACCATTTATCTATCTGACATTAGTTATCAATACTCAGATTTCCAGTCACTGCCAACAATAATGGTAATTAGGTTTATGAAGCTGAATTCTAGAGCATGTAGGTACTTTACTTGGCTTTTTGGTTGAAACTGTATTGTTTATCATAAAGAACATATGCTTTCCTACATCAAGCATAGAAACAGTCAGTTCACTTGACTGCAAATTCAGCTACAATGTGTTAGAATTTAAATCAAGCAGAGTCTGTGACTCTCTTTTCTTCTCTCCAAAAATCCATCTTGTCTACACTGAAATTATCCGACAAAACACTGGGGCTACTGGGAAATCTACTCTGAAAGAGATCAAATTGTAAATCTAGGTGCAACCGACAACAACATTGTTTAGCAGTGAACAAAATGTTAAAAACAGCAATTCCTGCAGAGGCTAGTCCCAGGATGTGCTTGGGTGAGAATGTCACTTTGGCTGGTGAGGAGGCGAAGGGCTCAGCTACCTCCCTTAAAAACAACACCGAAGAAAAGCTTCAGCACCCCCTTCCGCAGCAGTTCACAGGGGGATGCCGGCGTCGGCTCTAGGGGAAGCCGCCTGTTCGCCTGGTAGGAGAAGGTGGGAGTGAAGAGCAGGAGGTGCAGGAACCCCCGCGGAAGCTGGACACACTCACATTGGGGGAGGGTAAAGAAAGACATGATTTGCATTCTGTATTCCCCGTCTTAGGGGACACGTTTCATCAAGCAAATTTAACTTCATTTTGGGATTAAAATGAAAGCAGTGCTCCCTCCCCTGAAATCTGAATATCCAACAACTCTGCTTGAGATCTGATTAATATTTGGTAGAGAGCTTCCTTTCTTGGGAAGTTATTTTCTTACCAGCCCTTTTCTGACATTGCAATTTAAAAACGTATTGGTTATGTAAGTCACTTACAGATTTTTATTTTATTTTTTTCATTCCATAATAGGAACTGCTGGGGCCACATCTGAATCAAGGGCACCTGTAAGCCAAAAATTAAATCTTCGCTAACTTAAAATTACTTTAGGCTCTGAAAACCCTTTTATATGCCAAGATGGTTCCCATAGCAGACAGGCCTGTGTTGTTTGTTTTGTGTGAAAGTGAATGATAAAAGATCCATGAAATCGACACAGAAAGCCAGAACAGCAGAAAGAACGGAGGCCTCTCCATCACTGCGGCTTCTACCCTCTGCTGACTTGCGGAACAATGCGCGCTACACATCCAACTGCAGATCCAACACAGCTGTGCATTTCATTAGATGAAGAGCACTAGTGACAGAAGTAAATAATTAACTTATTCTGGTCCGCTGACTGTGCTTATGAGACCAGTCGTAGCTGACAGATTTTAATGCAAGCTAACACAAAGAAACCATAATGAGCTTAGGAGTTAAAACAAAATATTTAGACAGAATTTGATGATCTCGAATCTCAAACGAGACAGATGATTTTTTAAACTTTGGATTTTACTGAATTCATTAGGTGGTGGGGGGGAGAGTTCTCGATCTTAGAACCAGACTTTTTTTTTTTTTAAGGTATTTCTGTTTCAGAATTATTCAAATCTTTAATCAAAGCAGGAAGGTTCTTTTTCTTCCCCTCTCTTATTTTTCAAATGAAAAATTAAAACTTTGGCTTCTCCAAGAACAGAGGCATAAAAATCTCCTCCGATATTTAGAACTGTTTAAAGTTACTCTCCTTTAATGCTAGTTTAAAAATGTAAATGATATGCAGTACGCTTCAGTGTGTTAACACTCCCCTGGATCCTTGAAAAGAGGATGGACTACAAATAAACCATATCTAATGGAAGCTGTTGTGAAACAATTACTGATTCATACCTTAAATGCTTACGCAGCATTTCAGATTTTAAAATAAAATTTCATCCTCTGGCTCATGCTGGTGTCTCAACCCCATTGTTTGCAGCACAACTGCCTGGCAGTGAAATACAAATACACTAGTTTAACAGGCCTGGAACACTTAAAACACTCGCAGGGGCCAAGTGGGAATCAGACCACAGATGACACCACAGAACTTTTAACAGATGGGAACAGACAGGAGGGACAAACTGGAGCACAGGAAGTTAGAGCAGAAAGATTCTAGATACCCAGTCAGTAAAACATGATTCCGTCACCACCCATCTTAATATCAAGTTGTAAAGGCGGAGAACTTAGGGAGTCCCAAGAAGCTACAAGTCTGACTGCCAAGCCACACGGGAAAGGCAGGTCTGGGGACCCGCTGCCACGCTGTGCGTCACGGTCCAGACCGGGGAGGCTCTTACGCCAATTTGTTATTTCTATTTCTGTGCCTTGCAGAACAACACATAAATCATTTTAAGAATAGGTTTACCCAGCAAAATTCCAGTCAATCTGACAAATCACTCTTAGAAAGTATTTCTAATTATAAACAGCAACTCAGTTGTTCAAAAGTCATTCGTGGATTTTAAAGAAAAACAAAAAAGTAGTCTTAATGTAATGGATCCATTTCAATCCAAACGGGGGGGGGGGGGGTGCAGGGGGGCGGGAGGGGAGAAAAGGTAAGAAAGTGAAGATATGGAAAAAAAAGCTAAAGCATTATATTACCGTACAGAGACAGAAAATCAAGTAACAGCTGGCTAAAGACAAAAACTGTAATAACATCTTTAACTTGAGAGCTATTTTTGGGGTAACTTTAACATGCCAAGAACCAACTAGCAAAGGTTTTTCTCTTTTGTTGACAGCCTGTCACCCCTTAAGATCACATTCTGCTTCACTTCTTAATTTTTAAAAAGTTTATGCAGCAAGTCTACCTTCTAAGCATAAACACTTTTGAATTAAATTTACCACTTTCAGATTGCTACATACTTTTACTCTTTCTTTTCTGAGAAAAAAAGAGAGAATCATTTCCTCAATTAACAGGTTGTGTGACAAGTGCTGTGATAGAGGTGGGAATATGAAGAGGTTCAAGGACTTGGGTCCACTTCAGAGCTGCCCCGAGCAGAGCAGCCCAACTGAATGCTGAGCACGGAAACACCTGGACCAGTTCAGCTCACCACATTCTAATGCTCTAAGTGATGCAGAGCTGATCCTGCTGAAATAACACCAATCAGAGTCTACACTGCCAACTTTTACTCTCTGTGAGTACTGGTTAGACAAGGGTATTTATTCTGTCCAGTTTCATACTCTGAGCTCTAAGAGAAGGTGAAATGATGCTGCCATGCTTCTCTATTGGTCACAGTGCAGGAAGAGGCCTGGTGTTCGGGGAAGGTGTGATCACTGCAAAGCCCAGTATTAACGAGGTTCAGACGTGGCGGGGGGGGGGGGGTGTGCCATCTATAAAAGGCTCATCATCCCTTGGACGCTGAGACCTGTGTAGGGTGGGGCATCAAGGAAGCAGGAGATCTTACTTTGTGCTATTCAACCGATATTGTTACCTGGGGGGTAAAGCACCACGTTCCAGGGAGCCTTGGTTGTTTGGTCTTTGGAATGGGAATAATTAGCATCTATCTCATGAGGAAATTGTATTACAAAAACAGATGAGCTAATGTCTGAGAGGTACTTTCAGGTCCTCAGAGAAAGGCAGCAGCTAAACACAAGGAATTATTATTATATAAGAAACCTAATTACTCTCAGCAGGAAGCAAACTAGCAAGGCAAAGGAGACCAACTTAATGAATGGATGGAAGGGGCAGATGCAGTGGCACTAACTGTGGCTTAAGAGGCTGAAGGCAGCTCCCTCCACTGGGCTGTGCAGATCATTTCACGCAATCAGGACGGTGTCTCGTAATAACTTAGGACTTCACAGGACCTGGGCTGCGGATTTCCAGGGCAGAGTAGCTTACTGCTGATGAATATGG